GGGCTAAACTGGCGTGCCAAGGAACCCACAATATGTTGCAAAAAGGTAGAACAACCCCAGCGAGTGGCTGAAGTGTTCTGGTGCTGCGAGGTTGTTTGAGCATGCTAGAGGGAACTAATCCCCCTTGGTGATCTTGCATGATCCTTGGCGATGCTATGCAGAGGATCTACTGTTGTTGTTAGCTCCAGTTCCTGTACCGGCTGAGGAATGTGGCGGTACGATTTTTTCAGCTCTTATCTTTAAGTAGCCCCCAAGTAATGCTTCACAAATTTGGTTTTGCTTTATCAAGATGATGTTGTTGAGTTCGTGCATACGGATCGATTGAGGAGATGACTCCTCCAGCCATGCTTTGTAAAGTGGTCGATTCCTCGCCACCAGACTCGAGTAAGCTTATTTATTTGCAAATTTTGTCCCATATATTATGCATGTTTACTGACTTATTTCTTTGTCAGCTCCCGCGTGAGGTGATTTGTACCTGTGCTTTTTATTATTTGACTTTTGTATAAAACTTTGCCTTTAGTTAAAAACTCATTTTTAGACATATTTTGTATATTTATGCTATTATGAATTCATTTTGTTTGCTATTATTATGTGCATATTTGTGTGTGCAAGAGAAGTGTGAAAAACAATTTTGCGCAAAAATTCCGTCATTTTTTATTATTGATGGAGGGTATCCGACTCTCTCCCCCAAAAGAAAAAATGAAAAGAGGAAAAAATAAAATGTTAGGTTTATAAAAACCTTGGAAATTAAGCTAAAAATCCAAAAAAAGAAAAATATAATTAATATAATAGTTATATTAATTATAAGAATAAAAAGATTTTTTTTTAAAAAGATAAAAAGCCGTAAAGTCATTAGCAGACTCGGATTTAAGGTAAAAACGCGATCTAAGAAAGCGCGTCTGACATGGCAAATTGGCGCCAGCTGGCGCCAGGCGCTACACTTGGCGTGTGGCCGCCAAGCCTTGGCGTTCTGGCGCCAATTGCGGATTCTGGCGCCAATTGGCGCTGTTTCCGTATTTCATCCTGATAAAAACTGCTCGTAAATCGTGCATATATAGCCCCCTGCCTCAGCCTAATCTTTCATAATTCCAGCGAATAAAATAATTCTTTGCCTTAGAAAAATAATACCATGTCTCTAGTCACCAAAAACTTTCACTCAATACACCCATGAATGGTGTCGATCCCTTAATGCTAGAGACAGAAAAGAATTAGATTTGTTTCACTTGGGGGAATTTATGGCATTAAAGGGGTAGATCTTGACCTAGATTTCATTCATACCGCTCTAGAATTTTGGAATGTTGATACTCATTGCTTTAGAATAGGGTATGATGAGATTAGCCCTTTGCCAGAAGAATTTGGTGCTACTTTAGGCTTCCGTGCAATAGACCTTCATAGTAATCCCTAGAGTAGATGCATATTATTATAAGGATTTTTAAGCGCTTCTTTAATTTAAAAGAAAGGGATTTATCAAAAATAGTAGATGGCAATATAGTTAATCTGAAAGAATTTGCACGCCATTATTTTTGATAAACCTCTTTCTGAGTCTTTTCATATATATAGAAGAAGGGCTTTCTTATTTTGCATGCTTAATCAATTTTTTCTTAGTAGTGGTAAAAATAATGAAGGCCAATCAATTATAACTACCGTACTAGAACAAATTGAATAAGGAGAAATCCAATGCCATTGATAGTTGGAGAGACTATGATTAGTCTTGGTGAATTGAAAAGGAACCCAAAAGCACCTTTTCGCGGCTCTCCGATTTTATTACAGGTAGAAAAATAATATTTTTAATTACAGAATCAAAAAATATATTTTTATATTGTAATAATAATTTATTTGCATTGCAATTTTTTACAGATATGGCTAATGGAAAGGCTAGAAGTAATTAGCCCTCCGGACAATATTGAGAACTACACTCCAATTGCTTCGTGAGGAGGAAGAAACGCTTCCCTAAAATTGGGCGCCATGGGTGGAGAAAGGTCTTCGAATCTCGCAATTTTGATATTCAAGTGGGTCGTCCTATGGTGGAAAATAGAAAGGATGGTTTGGTGTCAATAAGCAACCTTTCTGCGTCTTCCAAGTTTGTCTCGTATGACTTATTATTATCCCTGCAGGGTAAAAAGACAATACGACTTGCTTCAGAATATAACTTCCGGGGATCTTCGTCCTCCCTATGAGTACCCTGTTTCCAGGAAGTAGACAGATTTGATGCTTACTGGAGTGCTAGACCTTTATGGAAGTGATTACCCAAAAGGTTCCTCCTTCTTTGCCTAATGATGTGAAGAAGTGGTTGCTGAAGAAACCTTCGAAGGATTCGAAGAAAGATCAGGGTAAAACTGAAGTGAAGAGTCGTCTAGGTGACAGGTGATTCCTGCCAAGAACGCTTAGGTGCAAGAGTTGATTTTAAAACACCTATAATGCTTGGAAGAAAAGTACTACAAAAGATAAAGGAAAAAGGAAAGCTGACACCACAGAGAAAAAAACTTGGTAGAAAAGAAGCGTGGAGTCCTAGCTGAAGAGGAGACCATCTTACTCTAAAATTGAATGTAAGTCCTCTAAAGGATGCCTACTAGATAAGGTTATGGATGACGAGGAAGAAGCAGACAAAAATTGGAAAAGGGCTAGGAAAGAAAAGAAAGATTAGAGCATTGCTTAATTTCAAATTATTAGACTTAGTTTATATTTTTATTTAAAGTCAATTTATTTCAGCTTTATTAAAATTTCCATCAATAATGTAATTGGAAAATTTGTCAGGAAAAACCTAATAAAAGACACTTTTTGCCAGGAAAACCTAATAAAGCGTTTTTGGCTCAAAAAAACCTAATAAAATTTTTTTTTTTGTTCAAGAAAAACCAGACTCCCTATTCCGACGTTGACTGAATGTTTTCCGGGTTGACTGTTACATGTGCCATGCACATGACCCTAAATTGACTATTTTACCCTCATTTGTTATTTACCCCTTTCCCTAATAACTTTTCTACCCAAATTAAATTCCCCCTTTTTTATTCACTGTCTTCATCTCTCTCCATTGAAGAACGTTCTCGTCCGTCATTGTCTCTCTCTCTTCATTAGTTGTAGGCTGCCATCTCTGAAGAAAACTGCACCTGCGATTACAGAGCTTTGAATGTTCATGCTCCCCAAACAGTAAGTTTCAATTAATTATGTAATGGGTCCTGTTTTGGTTATTTTTGGGTTTAAATTTTGTTCTGAATATTGCTCTGCTTCTGCCATGAAAGGAAAGAAATCAAGGAAGAAAGCGTCAAAGAAGGTACTAAAGGCAGCAAGTAGGTTAAAGGGGACCAATTACCAAATAATTCGAAAACCTAGGTAAGAATTTTTTGATTCAATTTATTGGAATTATGCATGCTTAATTAAAAATTCATATGTTGTTGGGTAATTGGGAATGTGCAAGCTGGGTAATTTATTGGAATTATGCATGCTTAATTAAAAATTGGGGTCTTTGGAGTTGCGTCTAATATTTTATTTGGTTTTTTTATGTTGTTTGCATGTAATTGCTTCAGGTTTAACGGTAGGATAATATATTCGAGTGTTGGTATAAATTTATGGAGGCAGTACATATAAGGGTGTATTATGGGGGGGATTTTGTTACAAAGAACAATGTTACCAGATATGAATATGGGAACAGTGGGTTTTATGGAGTGTCACTTCATCCTAATGTAGAGGAGGTGTGCTATTTTGAATTTGTGGACTGGATAAAGAGGGAGTTAGGATATGATGAAGTAGGGGAAATCTGGTTTAGGAGGAAGGGGTGTACTTTGTTTTAATGTAGAAGCTTATAAAGAGTGATGTTGAGATTCCTGAGTTTCTGCAATCACCTGAAAAAGATGGTTGTTCGACTTGTACTTGGTCCATAAACCAAAAAAGCAACCTCACAACACATTGAGTCATGGTATTGGGGTGGGATTTTACTCAGATTCTGAATTGGACAGTAGGAAGTGTAGTGACATGGCTGATAATGGGGTTAGTGTTAATGAGTCAGCAAGCACAAAACATGGGGACCACCAAAACCCTAGATCTGAAGGAAAAACACATATTTCTTTGTCTTGCCCTCCATCAAAAACTGCCTCTTTGACACAGCCTCACACTACACACAACAACAAAACACACAGAAAAAGCACCACCACCACAAAAAAAACTTGCTCTCTCTCACAAAACCCTGGCCTTTCAATTAAGTCATGCTATTTAGTTGATGGTAGATTAGAGAAGCTACCAACTCTTTCAAAGTCCAAAAAAAATTACACCAAAAACAAGTTCAGGGGGCAACAACACAGTCAGAGGCTGGGGGTTCAGTTGGGTTGGGGGCTGTAGTTGAATGCAGTAATCAGTGTAGACAAGAGGAGCCTGCAGTTGGGTTAGGGGCTGATGCTGATGACAGTTTCTGGGAAGAAATTGGTGATGTTTTTACAGTTCCTTTTCAGATAGAGGGGGATCAGATAGAGGAGGGTCAGAAGGAGAAGGGTGAGACAGAATAGGAGGGTCAGAAGGAGAAGGGTGAGACAGAAGAGATTGAGGAAGAGGATGGTGGCATAGTTAGATCTGATAGTGAAGATAGTGTTGATTTAACTGATGATGACTATGATGACCAGGATTATGATGATTTGTTTCATCAAATTCATGTGAGTGACATCACAGAGAGGATCAATAGAACTCTAGGTGTTGTACCTCAGCCTCCTCCATTTCAGGAAGAAGTTGAGGAGGAAATTAATCAGCACAAATTTGATGTGAATGAGGAGCAGGATTTGGATGAGAGTGATGATGATGTGTCCAGCATAGTAGGATCAGATGAGGAAGCTCCTGAGTACCCTGTATTTAATCCACAAACTGATTTTAGGGGTAAGATTATGTTGAGTAAAGGTTTAAAAATTTCCATCAAACAACATACTTAGGAAGGCTCTTAGACACCATGCAATTGAGAATGGGTATGACTACTACTACTTGCATAACAATAGGAGTAGGGTCACAGTGTATTGCTCTAAGAGATGTGGATGTCCTTGGAAGAGAGAGCAAGGATTACCATATGCAAGTGCAAAGTGAAAAATGAGTGTAGATTTAGGATATACTGTGCAAAATTGAAAGATGAAGAGACATGGAAGATTAAGAGCTTGGAGTTGAAGCATATTTGTAGCCATCAGATTCACAACTCCAAACTTTCATCACAATACCTGGCTGAAAGGTATCTTGAGGATTGGAGGGATGATCCCTGTATGAGGCTGAGTGCTTTTAGGAACAGAGCAAGGAGAGAGATTGGGGTTGAGATTAATTACTACATAGCATATTATTCAAGAGATAAGGCAATGAAGATGATATATGGAGATGCAAAGGCTGAGTACAGTAGAGTCTGGGATTATGCAGCAACTATCATAAAATATAATCCAGGATCTACTGCTAAGGTGAAGATAGCAGGGATTGACACTCCAAAACCTGTATTTCATAGGTTGTACATCTGTCTTCAAGCATGCAAGGAAGGCTTTGTGGCTGGGTGTAGATCTATCCCGGGTGTTGATGGAGCTCACTTGAGGGGACCATATCCTGGGATCCTATTGACAGCAGCGGGAAAAGATGGAAATCAGAACATCTTCCCTGTTGCATGGGCAATTGTGGAAACTGAAAACTCAGAGACATGGACTTGGTTCCTGAGCTTGCTTAAAGAAGACCTTAGATCAGTGGCTTCTTCTGTCACCTGGGTGCATGAGAAAGAGGACCCCACATACATGAGTGATAGGCAAAAGGCAAAATTGTATTCATTTTGTTATGTTGTTGGTTAGTGCTATGTTGATATAACTAATGTAAGTTGCAGGGTCTGCTAGATGCATTTAG